TCGGTGAACGAATTGGTGAAAGTCGAGACCGTGACTGCTAAGAGCGGGTCTGGGCCATTGGCTTAAATTGCAAAAGGTGAGACTGACTTCTAGATGTGTCGTTCCCACCGACGGCGCCAGATGTTTGAGCTCGAAATTGATGAGCTCAGATGTAACGTAGATCGGAACGTTCGGGATGAACTACGGCCAGTTGCCCAACACCTCCCCAGAACACTCTTGAGACCTGCAAAACAAAGTTAGCACTCCTACGAGCAAGTCAGTTATAGTCCAAGCTAACTTGCCGAGTCTATTTAGTATTGCCTACTTTGCATTTAAGGCTAAGGTTTCTATTTATAGAAACTGGGCCCGACAGGAACTCTGATACACCCTAAAAATACGGCGTGTTGTCGGGTTTGAAAGAAACACGTTTACGGACTCTTAAGATTGTTCAGGTCGGCTCGCCCTTTCAGATCGGCCCGTGACCGCCGACCTGAACAATCTTAGGAAAAATTCTAATCTCATCCACACGTCAGTTCGACTTACCTCTTTGATCGCAACACGTGGCAGGTCCAAATTCGCCTCCAACACAACCAAAGTTCTTTAATTAAAAATAATTATTAATTTAACAGATAATTAAAAATAATTATTAACTTTAACAGATAAATAGACCTTTTAGATTAAAACACAGAATCTTTTTTTGGATAATAGAAAATATTTTTTTTTTAAACATTATCCTAATTATTCCTTGATATTCTTACAAATATAACATTTTAAAAATCTAATTGTAAATCTAATATATTTTTTTAAACTAAATAAAGTAATGGGCATACTGAAAAAACAATGGCAATCATTACGGTTATTTATTTATTATTATTATTTTTTTGCACAAACATCATTTGTTAACATAAATCGATAATTAATTTAAATATTTATGAACTGTAATCATAAGAATTAGTAATTACCGATCGTATTTTAGATTTTAGATTCATGATTATTTTATCGAAAGGATATTTTTGTAATATTTATCTTTTTGTTCTGTAATTTAGTGACCACAGTTATAAAGTAATTATACTTTTTAAAGTGAATTTATATTTTTCTCAATATTAATGTCGCATAGGGATCTTTTATGAAAGCTCAAGATCCTTGTGCAAGTTCCACTTTAATTCAAAATGAATCACAAGCCAGTGCCTCACAGTTGCCATATCAATCCCCTTCAAAAGGTTTGCACTTCAGCATTATTATCTACATTTTTATTTTTTATTTTTTTAATTTAAAATATTATATCAATTGCTATAGTTATAAGAGTTTTTATTGGAAGAGTTAGAGATACTTTAACCACAAAACAATGTTAGTATTTTTACAAAATTGAATCAAAGTATTAATAATACAACAAACAAACACATTTAATAAGTCATTATAATAAATAAAAGAATTCTAATTAGTTAATTTAAGTACTGAATCATGAATGCCCCTCTTTCATAAGCATCCGAAACATTTCAGATAAAAAATCCTTGGGATATTTTTCTTGAGTTATCAATTAACATAATAAAATGAACACCAAGAATTAAAAATACCAAGAAAAAAACAGCAATACTGTTCTTAAGTTCAGTAATTGTAGGTGGGAATCCAATCATCACGTTTTGAATAATAATGTGTTTTGTCCAACCGACATGCTCAAATCCTTTAAATTGTCTTAGATGAATTAAATTAAACCAAAACAGATAGAAGCCACTACTTAACAGTGACAATTTCTTTTTTTTTAAATACCAGCAATTTGGACTATTTTTATCTTGGTTTCAATCCCATTCTGGTTCCTAAATTTTTATATCTATTTTAGTTTAATAGTTAAGCTTTCAAACATTTTATTTTAATCCTTGAATTTTATTTAAAGGATGGCTTTAATCCTAACCTGTTTAATAAAAGCTTAACAATAAGTGTCTTTGTTTATTTTAATAGTTAAGATTTTAGCATATATTTCTTTTTTTTGTTATAATAATCAATCAAATTAACTAACAATAATGATTAAGATAATTTTTTTTTGTGTTAAGTTTGGAAAGTCAAACAAGATAATTAAAAGTTTTGACACTAAAATAACATATTAGAAGATTTAAGGACCATATCGCTTGTTTAAAAACTAAAAAAATAAAAAAAATAAAAAAATAAAAAAATAAAAAAAACTGCTGAAGACATGAAAGTTTTGATGTCAAAATCCTTTTTCTTTTGGGAGAGATTCAACCTTTATATTTATATTTTTACTTGATATCCGTGTGTCCAAATCAGTTTGTACGTACCTTGACTAATCACGGACCAACCGTGTGACCCTACTACATTTGGTTGATAAGGTAACTCGTAGCATATTAAATCTTAGATTAGTGGTCACCATGGTTTGCCTCATTCCCTCTAAGTCATTTGCTATTTACATTGGCCTTATGGATCACTAACTATCCCATGATGGTTTACAACACTAAAATGTACTTTTTGAACATTCCACTAATTATTGCCTCTGAAACTTAACATCAACAGTCCCAGCTAGTTTTAGAACAATAATCTCCCATGGTAAGGTTGCAAAGCTATTTATTTTCAGTTCAGGAGGTTAGAACAGATTATGGTCACAAGATAATGACATTAATGAACCTCTAGGAATTTCTTGCTCACCTTCTGTGCAAAGAAAGGCTGGGATTCTGGTCAACTCAGAAAACGTATCATCATCCAGAGAGCAGACCGACGAAGAAGATGATGTTGAAGGAGAAAATGATATGAATGATCAAACAGATCCTGCATATGCTAAACGTGTCAGGAGGTAACAACTATAACATTGTGGGCTTTGTTACCCTATAATTATAAATTTAGTTTCCGACTTTGATAGTGTGTCTATTTAATCTGTAAACTTTAAAATGTTTGTATAAGTCTTGAAAAATAGAATTGTCATTGATGTAGTCCCTGCTACTAACCTTGCAAACTAAACGATGTGAGATATCAAATGGACACATGATTGCAACATTGTGCCAAATTGGCCGGTCAATACTTGTCAAATAAACAAGTCACGTCGTCATTTGTGCACAGTGTTATTATCAAGGACCATATAAGATTATAATTTAGAGTTCGGGCCGTAATTGAGGTTTTTTAAAGTTTAAACAGAATTTCTAATTTAATCTAATATTCTTCAGAAAAATTATTGTGCAGATACTAACACAATTGTTTTCATCAGAATGCTTTCGAATAGAGAATCAGCTAGACGCTCAAGAAAGAGAAAGCAAGCACATTTGACAGAGCTTGAGACACAGGTGAACTTCTAACCTATCTTTGTCTCAGCATATATATCTTTTCTGTTGTCTACCTAAACATCTAGTAATTTTTTTTTAATTTTTTTTTTGATAATCGGGAGTCAAAGCTTGGCTTCCCTATACTTAGGGGCGCGCACGCCCTGTTATCTACCAGATATAGAGTAAACTAGACATTATTCATTATTGATAGGTTGCTGAATTAAGAGTTGAAAATTCTGCACTACTGAAGCGTTTCAGTGATATAAGCCAAAAGTACAGTGAGGCAGCAGTTAACAATAGAGTTCTGAAAGCTGACCTTGAAACTTTGAGAGCAAAGGTAAGTGACTTGAATGATTTTTGATTTGCAGACAGTTGAGAAAGCAATATAGAGCCTCATCTTCTTTTGATCTCTCTTGATATGACAATGACTATGGTGACGTTTCCAGGTACAGATGGCTGAGGAAACCGTAAAGCGAATTACGGGTACAAAACTTATGTTCTACGCTATGTCGGAAGCTTCCTCAATTAGCATGCAATCCTCCTTTGATGGAAGCCCCTCAGAGATATCAACAGATGTACCTAACAATCATATTGCCGACATTTCTTCTTCAAATATTCAGCAGAGTTCTCCAGCAACAACAATGGTGTCTCCGAACAAGTCGGCAAGAACAGCTTCCTTGTCGCGAGTGGCAAGATTGGAGCATCTTCAGAAACGAATCCGTGGAAGTTCAAGCTCCTGTGATCCATCAGAAAAGGGAGATCAACAATAACAGTGTTGTTCTTGTTTCAAGTGTATGGAAGAGGTCTTGTCCTATTCTTTAAATGAACAGCTTTCAAATTTCAGTAAATTTGAGATGGTTTTGAGAATAGTGAAATACTTTTTCTGTTAAAGCCTAAGAAGCACGGACACGGATACAGGACACGGACACAGACACGATAGGACACGGCGATACGTCAATTCCTAAAAAATTAGGACACGGACATGTTGGGGATACGTTTATTTTTTTAATATTTTTTAGGATATATGTAAATTTAACACAAAAAATGCTAAATACACTGAAATGCATAAATATGAAGTCAATTACATCCTTCAACAAAAGTTAAAAAACAAAGTTCCAAAAGACCAATATAGT